TTTATCTCCATATCGAGATAGTAAAATTGAAAAAATATTAATATGCTTCTCCGTTTATAGAAATACGAGAGAAATATTTAATACAAAACTAAATGCCGGTGAAATACCTGTCATTCACGGATTAAAATTTTTAAGTATGTTATGTCTAATTTTCCTCCATACTTTTTATTTCTCAGCAGAATTTGTCAGTAAGTACTTTACAATATTGAAACGGTAAACATTTTAAGATCTGCATAATGGAATTTATTTCGTGAATACAGATAATAAAGGATGGTTTCTGAGATATAATGGCAATTTTTGGATTAGTTTATTTGATACTTTAGTGCTATTAGTCGATATTTATTTTCTTTCGAGCGGTTGTTTAGTGACTTATTTGTATCTGAGAGATAAAACGAATAAAGAATTGATTAAGCCAATTGGTTACAGACAAAAATTAATGACTTTTTCTATATATATAATAAAAAGATTTATACGGTATGTATTTCCTCACTTAGATAATAAGATAGCATCAATAAAATGTTTTGTTTTTAAATTCTTTTTTTTTATTTTTTATTTAATATATATTTGATAAATAACGATTAAATTATGATAACATTATCTTGATAACAGTATGTAAAATATTATGTTTATTATATTATATATTTATATATTTATATATTTATTATATTTTACGTTGATTGATATCAAATATTGCAAAACAATGTAATAGCAACATTATCCTTTAAAAACATTTATAATTGAATATTATTTAGAAAAGTACAGTAATTGGGAAACAAATTTTAATTTTAATTTGTTAATTTTATTTTGTGATCCAATGTAATTTATTTTTATTTCTATAATTAGAATTTTATTTTAAGGCTAACTCCGGCTTACATAATGACATTAGGAATATTCTTATTGAGCTCAATTAAATTGCATAAGACTTCACAATTTTATATGTACGAGAAATCATATGAAACTTGCGAGAAGTATTGGTGGAGAAATCTTTTGTACATAAATAATTTCTTTGGCCTCGAGGAAATGGTACATGCAATCTATTTAATTAAAAAAAGCTTAAAATTATGCGTATAAATCTTTTACGTTTCATTTTTATTACAGTGCATGAGTTGGAGTTGGTATTTAGCTAATGATATGCAATTTTTTATAATTGCTCTAATAATATTGATGTTGTCAACTGTGTAAGTTAATTAATCATTGACAATAATATAGCTACGTGTCTCTAATATATTCGGAAAAATATCATATCGTAATTTCAGGTACTTTTATGCCGCTGCTGTGCTGTTGGGTATACTTTTAATAGGTTCCGTCATCCTTAATGGTTACATTTCATATATTTATGAATACATTCCAACGTAAGTTATTGAAATATATTTTGCTTATCAAAAAATTAATTGTTAATGTCTTTTTTTTATTTTTTTTTACTTCTTGTAGTTGGGGTGAACAGTATAGACTTTTGGATATCTTATATTTTCCACCATGGATTAGAATAATTCCATATATTATGGGAATAATTACAGGTTTCATTTTAACGAAAATAAATAATAACTTTGTCTTAGAAAAGGTAATGTTTAACTTATATTTTATGTAAGTTTAAGTAAATTTTGATTAATAAAACTTAAATGTTAATTTATAAAAGCTGTACAAAGCTACAATATATTTTTTTGTTGCAATTTTATTGATTATAAATTAATTGTTTATAAATAAATATGCAAGGCGTCGCATTAATCAGTCCATTGGAATATTTAATTGATTTACCATACTCTTAAACCTTTTTTTTTCCATTTCAAAAATATTTTTAACTGATTCTTTTTTTTTAAATATAATATAAATAAAAATTTAT